TAATTTGAAATGATATAATTGGTTAAGTTGATAATGAGTTGATTATACGAATTAGAAAGACTTTGAAGTATAAGCTCTGCATGTTCATTTTCCTCTATTTGTTGACCCAACATAGTGAGTTATAAAAATAGAGTTCTTATTGTATTGATGTGGTCAGTCACTGATGTGGTTTCTGCTATTCGAAGGGTATAAAGTCTCCGTTTTAAGAAAATCTTATTATGTAAAGACTTTGACTCGTATAGTTTTGTAAGAGTATCTCATATCTTCTTAACTGTTTTCTTCTCCAACACACTTGATAATACTTCATCAACTAATGCTAAATGTATGTTAGCAATATAATTGTCATCCATCTCATTTCATTTTGCATTATCAATGATCTCCACGGGTCTGTCTCCAATTGCTGCCAAGCAATTGTCTTTCCTTAAAACTGTATTGATTCTCATTTTTCATAGTGAGAAATTGCTCCTTTTGAACATTTCAATCTCGTACTTTGCTACCATTTTATTCACCAAGATCTATTCAGTTATCACTGTTTCACTAATCTGTAATGTATACAGAAATAGTATCGTGTGAATAATATACTAAGTAAGTTCCTAGGAAATTTTGGAGGGGTCACAAACGGTCCCACTTAGAATAACTTTCTAGACTGTATTTAATCACCACACTGACTCTCTTTATATGTCAATAATAACGTATGTGAACAATATCGTATTAATGAATAGTATCGTATAGGTGAATAGTGCATGTTGTACGTGTGCGACGTCGCGACAATCGTCGTGCACCCTCTCAATTATATGGTGTATCTATCTAGCAAGCATGGAGAGATAAGGAATTCTTGTCTTTTTCAGTGGAAAAATAGAATGAGAGTCACTACCTAGTATTTTGGCCATTAAGAAACCTAGCTGGTCTCAGAAATAAGATACGGAGACTAGTTGTGTAAAGGGAAGGTATTAACACCCCAAATACGTCCTACCTAAGGTAAGCTGCATTGTTTAATTGTCTGATATATGCTAAGGTTTCATTGTATTTCAAATTGTTAATCTATCTATGGTTTAAGAAAAGTCCTCCTCAGTAAGGAGATCCTTATCTTATTAGGTAAAGTCTAATCATTCTAATTTTTATAAAAGAACTACCTTTTAAATATCGGGAATATATTGTACGTATAAATTTGTAATCCTAGATATTAAAAGAAAAAAAATTATTTTTATTTTTTGAAATATTGGTCAAGTTCTTATGACTTTAACAAACTGGTTATTAAATTCAAAATGCATGCTAAAATATATTATTTAAAGTTTTCTTTGTTGTATGAAAATATAATATGATTTTTTTTTTAAGATTTGAGAGACTTGGTCGTATGTATGAAAATAAAAATATTTTATTTTTGAAAACCGAGTATTTTAATACCAGATTTATATGTTTACGATATAAAAATATAAACCGATATTATCAAAATGACATAGAAAAATAAGTGAGAAAATTACAAATTTTACAAAATAATTTTTTTCTTTTTTTAAATTGGACCGAACTCGACCTAAAAAGAGGTTAGGTTGAAATCAGCCCAAAAATGAAATCAGGCCTCTTTTCTGCAGGGTTGGACTCAACCTAACTGCAGGGCTGGACTAATGATCCAGCTCGTAGAAAACATGGATTGGTTATTGTGCATGAGTACAGTAACCAGTTAAATAATTAGCCGGTTACTATGCACATGCACAGTACCTGGCTAATTATTCTTCTTGCTTGCAAAATATGCACAGTGCCTATTCTACATGCAAGAAGATGAACAATGACCGACGACTATGATGTGGAAGAGAATTACCTAAGATGATGATCTCGGATAGTTAAGCTGACGATGATGTTCTTGACTATTCTCGATGGTGTTATGGTAGCAGACGACGATTTCAAGAGGCACTATTGTAGGTTTTTCTTCTTCCCTATACAGAGGCCCTTTTTTTTCTCCCCGTTATCTTCTCTTTCTCTCCTTTGTCTCTCCTCTTTTGTCCTCCCCCTCTGTTTCTCCTCCTGTCTCTCTTTTCCTCTCTCTGTTCTTTTTCTTTCTTTCTCCTTCGCTTTCCCTCCTCTGTTCTCCCCTGTTTTTTTCTTTCCCTCTTTTTATTATCTTTTTCATTATATCCCCTCTCCCGTCTTTTTCAATCATCTTCTTCCCTCTCTTTGTGTTTTTGTTCTTTTTTTTCTTCACCCCTTTTCTCTCCAAAAACATCCCCCCCTCTCTTTGTTTCATCTCTCTTCCTCTATTTATAAGCAGGAAGAGAGAGAGGCCACCCTGCCCTATCTCGTCAGGGTGCAAGGTAGGGTGGCATGGGGTGGCTTTTGCACAACCGCCCTAGCCGCTGCAGGGTATGACGTCCCTTCTCCTTTCTTCATCATGATAGCAGGTGAGTATGGGTATGGGTTGTGTCGTGTATTTTTAGACAAGTGAGGGCAAAAAGAGAGTGAAATAGTGGTGTTGCAGGGGAACATAATAGCTTATTCTTCCCTTATCCTCTACACGTTTAGGGGAAGAAGAAGACTTATAATACTGTTTAAAACGACACCGTTTGCTTCTTTCTCTCCCCTTTTTTTTAAATGAATAAAATGATGCCATTTTGCTTAAAACACGCCGTTTCATTTAAAAGAAAAGAGCGCCAAAATGTTAATTTTTCAAATCAATCCCTTTATTTGCGTGCTTTTTTTTATTTGGTCCTTGATTTTGGATTTCTTCAATCAAGTCCCTAATTGACCATTAAACTTTAATACTTATGCAATTAAACCCCTGATTTGACTAAATCAACTCTTAAAAATTATAATTTGACCTCAGAACTTTATTTTATTCTAATTAAAGCCTAAATTGACTTAAAAATCAATTTTTCTTTCAATCAAACCCTCTATAAATTCAATTAAACCTTTAATAAAATTTAATTGAGTCCATAAACATCTAATTTTGGACTTTTCTTTCTCAAATTGAATTTTCTTCATTGACAAGGCTCTCACCAGTCAATGATATATTGTCAAATTCCTATCTTTGTATTTTTTAACCTTCTCAACCAATTTTTGATCATTTTCTAGGCGCTCTAACATCCTCTTTTCATTGTTATTATTTTTTTATATTTTTTTATTGATTTTTTTCTTTTCTCTTTTTTGTGCGGGGACCAAAAAATGGGTTATAATAGTGTCGTAGACGTGAAGAGTAACTTTATACACGATTAACTTTTGTGTGTTAACAACACCAATAAGAAGGCTCTGATACCACTCTTATGATATTGACATGCAAACCCGACAAGATAAAAGGCAAGGGATATGATAAAATGAGAAATGACATATAAAAACTTACATGGTTCACCCAATTAGGCTACTTCCACAAGCAAGTATAGAAGTATTTTACTAAGTAATATGAAAATTACGACCCCTGTTTACTAATAAGAGAACAACTTAAATCTCTTTATTAATAAAAAAAATATTTCAATTACTCTCTCACTTATTCCTTGTAACTTTGTGAGAATTTTCTCTCTCTTACTTTTTTTTTCTTCTCTTGAGACGTGCTTAAGACTTAGATGCATTGTAGGATTCCATCTGGTCTCTAAACAAATCCATACCAGTGTAGGTAAAATTGCCATCAGTTGTAATTGTCTTTAACTGGAGAGCAAGATGACGAAGAATCAACTCAAAAATTGTATTTCAATCCAGTATCGTATCTTCAAAAATCAATTTGTTTCTAGCTAGCCAGATTAATACCATAAAAAAGAATGGTGAATGCCTTACGGAGGTAGCCCCAGAACGGAGGTAGCCCCAACTCGCTTCAATACTCTTTTTTTAAATACTCTGTTTCTTTCCTTCAATACTCTGTTTCCCTCTCACGACAGCAACTGGAAGGGTTGTAAGGTGTTGTGAACTGTTTCAATACTCTGTTTTTTTTTTTTTTAAATGAGCATAAGGTCTCGAGGTGGAGTGCGGTTGTAAGGTGTTGTGAACTGTTTCAATACCCTGTTTTTTTTTTAAATGAACATAAGGTCTCGAGGTGGAGTGCGGGGGTAATCCGGTCACTCGAAGGATAACAATTGGGCTTTCGTCTCTCATGAATTACAGGGCCTGCCACTCTGACTGGACTTCTCAAATGGGGACTCAGGGTAGGGTGGGAAGACGAAAAGGCCAGTGCAATTGGGCTTGATGGGCTGCTTAAATTACCAGACGTGCCCCACATCTCCCCGGGGAAAAGTCTACCGTATCTAGAAGCTAGAAATCCAATCTTTTGGTTTTGATTTGAAATCTCACAGACAAATTATCTGCCTTCACACCAATTTCCACAAATGGAATAAAAAAGAATTATTTGCCACCCCATTTGGATTTTATCCAAAAGTGCTGCCGTCATAATTACCTGCGAAGGCAAATATTATTTTTTTCAACTTCTAGAAGGCGAGAATCCCACCAGTCAAAGAAGACGTTTTTTTATTAGCCAATGGCGTAACAGCCACCGATAATCCGTACAGCCAAGTATATTAATATTAATTGGAGGATCGATTATGCCAATATTTGGATCATCTCTTCTGGCAATAATACATCGCCCTCAGTAATGATATATTTATTGTATATATCATCAAGCTAACCACGTCTCGTCAATTTTATCTTTAAATTCTAAAAAAAAAAAAAAAATTAATTAAGGACTTCCATCTTTTCAAGACAATTCAGAGATTTCAGATTGTGGTATAAACAATATTATTTTGCAGAGTCTTTCGTTGAGAATTTCTAACCCAAGTCTTTATTAATACCAAAAAAAAATAAAAAAGAGTTTAGATGGAAAATTAAGACTATCATTACCTTCGGTTCAAGAAATTCCTTGTGTTACATGACTGCTAGATCATCCCTTTTCTTGCACCAATTGAGAATATTGTTCCACAGCCTCATCAAATATCCTTGCTTGTTGTCCCGAAATTGATTTGAGATTATCAAAATCAAAGTCAAGAAATGACAAATTGAAACATGGGTTCTACACCCGCAACTATAACAAATTGAAATAGCTGACTCGTAACCACCACTAATTAATAATGTTCACCAACTACAAAAGCAAACTTCTTTCTGTATAGGTAATAGCATCATCCCTGGGGTTATAACCACAGTGATATGGATGAATGCATTCTTATTGATGATAACAAAGCTTTCGAGAAGAGCGAAGGCAGCTCATATGCCTTAAAACAATCCTGAACAATTAATGAAAAATATCCAAAATAAAATAGGCAATCCTTCAATATGAAAGGTAGGAAGATGCCAACTGATTGCCTGAAAAAATGGGCCAGAACTTAAGAATGACAAGAAAGCAGTCATGTAATAAGGGAGACTGATCACTCCTGAGCAACTTTCACTACTTGCTTGCCTACATTTCGGCCGCTGAATAGGCCTATCAATGCAGCAGGGCCACTCTCGAGTCCTTCAGTTATGTCTTCCACATAAACAATCTTCCCCTCTTTAATATAAGGCAGAACAAAATCCAAGAACTTGGTGTATTGGTCATAGTACTCGGCAACCGTAAACCCTTCCATCCGGATCTGCTTAAAGAGTACAGCGATTAAGTTGTGCACACTTTCAGGCTGCTCGAGATTGTATTGAGAGATCATTCCACACAAAGCAATACGGCCATGGTGTCTCATGTTTAGAAGGACAGCATCAAGCATTTTTCCTCCAACATTCTCGAAGTAAATGTCGATGCCTTCAGGGAAGTACCTGGCAATGGAAACAATCATTCCTTTTTCCACTTGAGCCAATCCCCACAAGAGTAACATTCATAAACAAAAAAGTAAAGCACATAATCACAGATTAATTAAGCTGCAGAACTTCTAGAGGTTCTGTAAGGCTTGAGAGTGCTATTTCAGATTGTCTCTTATGCAGACTTCATACACTAACCTTTTCAAGGCTGCATCCAAGTCATGCTCCTCTTTATAGTTGAAAGCATCATCAAATCCAAACTTGGTCTTCAATAGTTCAACCTTTTCTTTACTTCCAGCACTTCCAACAACATAACAACCTATCAGTTTTGCAAATTGCCCAACAAGCTGACCAATTGCGCCTGATGCTGATGAAACGTAGACACGGTCTCCTTCCTTGGGAGAACCAATGTCAAAGAAGCCAAAATAAGCAGTCATGCCAGGCATTCCTGTAAGATCAAAAGAACAAATTCAAAGAATATGGCTCCTTACAGTCATAACAAAACAACTTCACATAAGAAAATCATATGGACCAAGAGCATACATACCAAGAATTCCAGTGTAGTAGGAAAGGGGTATATCATCAGTATGGTTGATTTTGAAGAGGTATTCAGGTGTTGTTATTAGACTGTATTCTTCCCAGCCGATTGTCCTTCCCCAGACCAAATCGCCTTTCTTGAAGTCACAGTGCCTGGAATCAACAACTCTAGCCACTCCATATCCAACAATTGGCTGCTCAATGTCTCCAACAAGAGAAAGTAAATTCACAGTAACTAACAGTAAAATTACCATAAATAATCGTAATATAAATTATAACACTTCAACAATGAAAGAGGGAGATTGAGAACATACAGAGCCAAGGGAGTAGGAAGATGGTACAGGTTTACTGGATGGCAGATCTCCCTGCATGAGTCCACGCATGAAGGGATCACAAGACAAGTAGAGATTCTTAACCAGCACAGCATCTTTACCACTCTCTTCTTCTGGCACTTTGCGTTTGATGTTACTTGTCGTCAGGTACAGGTTTGATTCTCTTAGAAAACCACTCACATAGTCCCTGAGGATCACTTGTTTGTTGCTGATCACTTCCTCACCACCAACACTATGATCACTAACCATGCTTTGTGCTAATGTTCTTAAATTAATTTGTTGCTGAACAAAATGGTGATAAAATATTGCTGATGATCTACAAGGTTGCAAAAGGCAAAACATTATATAGACATGCACTAGCTAGATCTTGTTGAAAAGTCAATTGCCGGCACAAGATTGCAGATATAAATTATTGTATTGGTTAATGTTGATAGAGGTCAAAGTTCAATAAGTGGCTCGCTCACGCCAAATGATTTATTTGATAAAAATATTCATAACTTTTTATATAATTGTTAAATCAAAAGCTCAATATTTTCTAAATTGTTCTACAGCCAAGTATTATAATGGGTCTGTTTTTTATAACTTACAGAGGTCAAGAAAGCTTTCAAATTAGGTTTAGAAAATGTTATTTTATTAGTTTTGTTATCTCTGGTTAATTTGAAAATTTTAGCTTAATTTTTATGTTTATGTTATTTCATAAGCCCATTAATAACAACAATTCTGAGGCAAGCTTCAAAAGAACTGAACGTTGTAAAGGAGAAAATATATTGCTCATATGAAGTCTCAAATATATATAAAAAAAATTAACTGAACTAGGTGTTTGGAAAATTAATTTCTTCCCTTGTACTATAATTGCATCCGTCGTCGGGCGGAGACTTGCCACAAGATCAAGCAATAAACTCGCTCAATGAGCTACATATTACATTGTTTTTAAGCTAAGACAGAGAGAAACTATCCCATTTGTATATGTATACTATATGTGTTACGTAATAGTTTTTTTTTTTTTGGCTTGATCAACTATATATTCCCTCATTAATTAGGTTCTTATAGGCAGCTAGTGGGCTGAACAAGTCCTGATGCAACTCCACCAGCATTGCTGCATGATGCTTCAGCTGGCTGATTCTTGTAAGTGAGCTTTACATATTCTAATTTGATCCCAGTGCATGGATATTTTTTGCTACAATCAAATTTCACCGCCACTTCTGTTGCTGATGATCCATGAATGTCTTGGTAGGTCACATCACTTATTTTCACACCAGAAACCTGTTTAATGTACAGAAAAATACAGCAAGATTTATGTATGTTTTGGATGTTAGCTTACAAGTTGAAAAGAACGGTAAAGACAATAGATTTGACTGTACCTGGCCAGGGCAATTCTTCTCGCCGGGGCAATAGTTTTGGTCTATTACAAGGGGATTTTGGTCGTTATTCATGACTGCGTGTTGGAAAAGAATATCTCTAGCAAAACCATTGCTAGGCCTTCCCCATGACTTAATTCTCAGTCCATTTTCTGTACCGGTAAATGTAGTGGTCTTGACTGTAACATTTTGCACACCAGCCTCTTGGGATTCTTTGCCTAAACTTCCAATGCTACAATATCAACCATATACACATCATTTCAGTCCAATAGTTAGCAACACATTAAACATTAGGAGCAGATGATAATTGATATAAACTTATAGTTGATGCTATAATTTCTTATTTACCTGATTCCATGGCCAGGTCCACATGCCACATTTTCAATCCACAAACTAGAGGTACCGGGGCCAATCGATACACAGTCGTCACCTGTTCCAATCCTTGAATTCAATATGGTGACACCGGTTGATGATTGAACGTGAATGCCATCCGTGTTAGGGCTGTTTCCGGCAGCAGAGACTTTGACTCCTTGCACTTTGACGTTTTGGCAACCATTGATGACAATGTGAAACAACTGGCTATTTAATGATGCCACTCCAGTGATTGCAATATTGTTTGAATTGGAAAACTCAAGTGACTGCACAGTAAATAAATTATCAAGAAAAATTAAGACCTTGAAAATATAACATCTATCTTCAGTCTACTGACCAAAATATTGTTATAAGATGATTATATATGCCATGCATGCATGTGCTTTATTATCATACCGTTGCGCCTCCGGGGCAACCCTTGCCGGAATTCTTGCAAGACCACAGTCCAGCACCCTGGCCATCAAGAGTCCCTCCAGATACAGTAACCCCATTAACATGCTCAAAGATTAGCCAATTTTTAGCGTTACCAATGACCTTATAATCTGATGGGGCGACTAGGGTGCCATCTATACGTACCAAGATAGCACGGTTCTTGCAAGGACCCTGAAACCTCACTTGACCTAAAGAGAAACTCCCTTGAGGAACAGAAATTGTAGCTGGTTGTGTTGAGGCACATGCCTCTGCCCAAGCAGCAGCAAAGGCCTTGGTTGAGTCAGTTTTTCCATCAGGTTTGGCACCATAACTTAACACACTATATTGTGCTGCCTTTGCTAGAGGTGAGAACGCAAAGAAAATGATGAAGAAAAGGGTAATAGGATGGGGGATCATTGGAAGTGGAAGGCCTGCCATTGATCTTTTTGATACCGGATAATATTTGAATTGATGCAAGTGATGAGTAGTTGAAATGGAGAGATGGGAATCTGAAGCAGCTGAAGGTAGTATTTATAGGAAGTTTGGATATAGAATGTGGACATTTAATATTGGGTATTTGAAAATATAAGGCATAATCCATATTCATTTTTTATGAAAAAAAAAATTAAAATAACGGATGCTATTAATGCATTCATATTGATCAGTTTCTCATGATAAAATAAATAAAATTTAAAAAAAAATGTAAAATAAATTTATTGTTAGAATAGTTTTAAAATAAATTTATGTCAATTTAAAGTATAAATTAATAACATGTATACATATTTTTTTCTACCTCGAGATAGAAATTACTTAATGATAATTAATGTTGTAGTAGTACGTAATTAGTGAAATTTACTTATCAATTTTTTTTTTGATTAATCTAACCATAGAAGTGATTAGATTAAAAATTAGAAATTGAATATATATACCGATTTATTCATCATTACAAAGTTTTAAATTATTTAATTCAAACAACATTTAACTACCATAACCTTACAATAACTAACTTCCTGTTAATGGAAAAAATTAAGATAAATTAGGAAGTCAATTCATTCTATGTCTTAGTGCCTCAATTACCTTGAAAAGTTGATTAAGTAGTAGTTTTCCACGTTGTTTTGGTTATTAATACACATTATTTAGTATATATGAAAGGATTTTTGCCAAATGAAATTGCTGAAAAGTGGGATTGAACGAGACAGGTGGAGCAAAGAACGGAAATAAAAGGGGGTATTTCTTTTAATTAAGTTCTTATTACCCAGAATCATGGCCTTAATCTCACAATTTCTTTTTCTTCTTGCGCGTAATTCTTTCACTTTTCGTGTTTTTGGTGGGACACGAGGGACGGCATAGGTTTTTACAGGTGCCTGACAATTAATGCAATGGAAACAACAGCTTGTCTAAATTATTCTTAATTTATTCTTGAGTTCTCTTTGTTTGAAGTCCTAAATAATAAAATAATAAAATAATGTTTTGTGTAAAGTAAAAGACTTTCCTCTCCTTCTCTATAAGGGCAACATATAAATGATTATACTACAAAGAATAGCTCTTATAGCATTGTCCATTAGGTCTTGTTAACCAAATATACTTAAAAACTAATTCTTTTGAATATTGAAAATCCATTGGTTTCTGTTTTAAACTAGCAATCAATGGCCAATATACTTTACATATGTGCGGCCTTCACTAACCATTTTAAATTCTCCTTATCCCCATGCATGTTTCTTTTCAAGGTAATTAGTATATATCCTCCTGACCTTTGAGCTATCAGAATTTACTAAATATTATTTAACAAGAAGCAGTACGGCACAGTAATCCTATCATATCTCGTCTGCATCTTAGATTAATCCTTTGAAGATGAGATCATATATACTACATTTAAATCTTGGAATGATTAAGGTTGTTGTGCAATAACATACATAGTTCAGAAACCAAAATTCCTGTCTGGACAATAGACGGACAAGGAATGGCCTTTTGGTGTGTTTTTATTGCATGTCTTCAAAGCACACACACACAAACACATGCATTCACAGCAATGCTTGATGTGTGAAATTAAGGCGCTGGACGTGGCTTACTCCGTGTTCATATATCAACTTTTTTGAAGGCTAACCGCTTGTAAAGCATGTGCGTAGCCACTTTTTATTTGGTCCCTATTCTTGCCTAACTTTAATAAATCAATCCGAAATGACCTAACCTAGGGGGTCAAGAGATAAGGAACGTGATTATCATGTTTATGTCAATTTCTCTCGTCAAATTAATATAGCTGATTCAGACTTGAAACTGTTTTCAACTGATTAGAGTGACAAGTAACCTCCCCATGGATCGGACGGAGCAGGCCAACCTATTTAACAAGCTTTCCACATGGGGTTTCTTGTCTTGTGTTCCAATATCGAAGACGGTAAAAAAGAGTATACTATATTGACAAGTTGATGAGAAATCAAAGTTTGCATCTTATTTAACCATAAATAGTGGTTAAGTGATAAAAATTTAGGATTAAAAGATTTATTTTTTTTATGGTTTCAGGTTTGAGTTTTTAATTACTCGTATAATAATCATTAGAAGCTTATATGATCATTAATTTTAGGACTCGTGAGATTAGTTATAGTGCATATAAATTAATTCGGACAGCCACGTTAATCTAAAAACAAAATTTGCATCTTATCTTGACTACACTTGCATTAATTTTATGTGACTTGTAAACTGATATTAAGTACTTGCCAACTCTTAGACCAACAGATCTAACCCAATCCAACACTCAAACAATTTTAACCATGCTAAAAAGTTTGATCATCCGTTAAATAAATAAAAGAGTATTTCTTTTGCTTTTTCAAATGCAATCGATATAGCATAGTTGAAATGATTAATGGATTTACAATGATCCATCCAGATTTGGGTAATTAATTAGCGAAACCAAAATCAATGGGGATAAATGCAGAGTGAAATCAATTAGGCTTCGGGCACAAAGTCAGGCAATTTTCGAAGCCTTATCCATCTCTCGTTTCTTATCTAATAATAATTAAAAAAAAGAAAGTGAAAGCAATCGAACATCGATTCATACAGAAAAAGTCTATAATTGAATAGTTAAATAAACTTTAACAGTATAAATGCTCACCAAATAAACTTTCAAGGATTGGTTGCTGATGAATTAAATTGTTCGTGCATGTTCTTCCATGTACAAATGCATGCCTCATCAATATGTGTGTGTAAATGAAACACCTTATCATCACT